AATTGATTGAGATTTAAATTTTATTTTAATCATGCAACGTTTAAAATAATTTATATATTTGTGGCATATATTAAGAAAATTAACATAAAAAAATTATTGGTGTTTCTGATTTTCAGAAAAAAAATATGTGTCAATCATATTTTTCTCCCAACAATGAAACCAAATATAGCGGTTATAGTTCTGAATGTGCCAATCACTTTAAGTTTCAAACATTAGCCGTTAAATATAGAAGATTGTAATAATAAAAAGATGGTAAATAATAGTCAATGTTTTAAATTTATTATCAGTAATTAAATATAGAGAGAGGGAGAGATATAAATGATAAAGTTTGTAACGGTTTTTGGAGGGAAATGGAAATGAGGGTATTATTAAATATTTTATTAAATGCTATTAGCCAGCAATTATATATATATATTATAAATTTTCTAAGTTTTGCTACGAAGCAAACAGTTGGTTCCATAATGGAGCCAACCTTATATATACAACAAGTAACATACCATATTCTTTGATTACTTAAATAACACTAATATAATTTTATTAATATGGTATGTTTATTTGTTGTATATGGAAGGTTGGTTCCTCTATAGAGTCAACTGTTGGATTAATAGCACAAATTGTAAATTACGAACATATATATATATATATATATATATATATATATATATATATGTGTGTGTGTGTGTGTGTGTGTGTGTGTGTGTTAGTTACAAATATCATTTCTCTCTTTTGATTTCTTCTCCCAATTTGCCAAATCCCCATAACCCTCTCTCAGTTCAACCGCGACTCTCCCCCGTCTTCTGCAGGCCGCCGCATCGCCATTTTTCCAAACATGTCGGGATCGGGTTTAGAGGCCTTTGTCGTCCCTCTTTCAGCCTTGAGAGTGGTTGTTTACGCGGTGTCTTGCGGCGATCATCCTCTATCTCCGGCAAGTGGGTGTCGCCGTGCTTCAGCTTCTCCTCTAGCCCCAAGCCGTTGGCGCCCTTTGGCCTCTCGTTTGTCTTCTCTCAGTCCGAAAGGTTCCCCCCGCTCGGCGAGCTCGAACGCGCGGTTTTGTTCCCTCCTGAACATATGTTTTGGGCTCCTTGGCTTGGTTCGTGGAGGCTTTTCCGTAGGCATCCTCCCCCTTTTGACTGTTTTAGGCTCATATATGGGTTTAGGTTACCTCCTCGCCAGATCTGACTAGTCACGTTTCGTCGGAGTTTTTGGGTTTGGGGCATAGCTCTGTAGCTCACCTTGGCTTTCGATTGTGGGGTTGTTTGTTGCAGGTTCTGGCTCGGTTGTTGGTTTTAATTTTTGCCACGGTTTCTTGCGTGGAGTTGAGAAGGTTTTATTTTATTGTAGGTGTGTGTTTAGTGTTTAGCTAGGTGTGATTCTCCCCTCGTGGGAACTTGTTGGACTTTTTAGTTTTCGCTTTTGGTTGGTTTGAGTCTAAGCATGCCGATTTTAGTTGATGTTGTCACTGCCGAGTGCTTGTACTCTATACCACATGTTTCTTGTTTCTAATCTAAGGTGCTTCGATTGACATTTTTCAGTGATTCCACTTTTTCTGGTGGTTTCATTGGACTAGTAAGCCTTGGGTCATTTCTTTGTAAAATTCTTTTTTCGAGGTATAATATTTATCGTTTCGTTAAAAAAAAAAAACTAAGATACTATTCATATATTATTTAAAGAAATATGATTAAGAATATTTAATATATAAGTAAAATAATTTATAACTTAATAACTATCTATACTTATATTAAAAGCCATACCATTTACCAAAAATAGTAGCAAAAAAGTCAACTCACAATTAATGCATACTTTATTTAGAAATTTTTTACTAAATGCATTAATTGCTTGCATATATACATTTCCTATTCAAATATGATCAAAAAGATTTTTTCCTCAAATAATTTTATTAACTTTTGCAATGATTTTACTGATATATATTACAATTCATATTTGTCGATAATATTTTTTAATTTTTATTTGAGTATAAAAAACAAATATTTTTTTAAATTAATATTTTATTTATCATTTAAGAGATAATGATCACATCATTAAATGATACTGATGGCTAGATAATAAATTAATATACATTAATTATTCTTTAAAATTTTGGCATGTTATTTATTTGTATCTATACTTATTATATAAGGTATCCTATTTACCAAATTTATTAATTGAAAAGTCAACGTAATTAATGTATTGCTATTTCTATCCAGAATTTTATTTAATTATTTTATTTATTTGTCTTATATCCCATAAAATTAGTTTAAGAAAAAAATCCCATAACATCTGACAAGTAAAAAAAAAAGACGTAAAATATTTAGTAGAATAAAAGACTTTATTTATTTGTTTATTCCATATTAACATCGATTTTGTCAGAATAAATCTCATAAAATCAGTGAAGTCAAAATTTGTACGTAAAGTCTATCTATCCAAAAAAAAAAGTCAGATTCAAAATTCCTTATCTAATCCCTTTTTATTATTATCTAATAATATGAAAATCTATTCTGATTTTGTTCAATCCTCTAATTGTATTTGTATTTTATTCCATAAAATCAGTTTATCAAAAAAAAATCCCATAACATCGGATAAGTAGAAAAAACAAAGTACGTAAAATCTTTACCTAAAATAAAAAGATTTTATTTATTATCTAATTTATTATCTAATTGTATGGAAATCTGTTCTGATTTTATGGTGCGTACTACAAATTGTGCACCCATGTTCAAGAGTTACTTAACGGGCAAACTCTGTGAAAATGACTCATTTAGTACTTCTGTCCTGTGCATACCGTATGTATTTTATTACACATACTATAAAATTATGCACCCCGTGCATTGCACGGGCTCTGTACTAATAAATGACCTTAAATTTATGCACCCCGTGCATCACCCGTGTTCACATTTTGTCCTATTACAGGTCACGTACTACATATATCCTGTACATTTTTTTTATTCATTTATATAATTATAAGAATGGATAAATAACCTTAAAATTGTGCACCCCGTGCATCGCACGGGCTCTGTACTAGTTATAATTGAAAATTGTTAAATTATGTAAGCCTTAATATCTTACCTATAGGAGTTGATTAATGATGATTTTTCTTATCTATAATTTTATTTTATTTTGTTTTTAATTATTATTATTTGCAAAAGCTTCCAGATAGAAGTTTTTAAAGACAACAACTTGCAATTTCCAGAGAGCTTGTTTAAAGACGGGCTCGGTTGTTCAAAATTGAGTTGGAACTTTTCAACATGAGCAGGTGCATTTGGGTCACATGCTCGTCACGCCCAACTGGTGGGCTGACCTTTACGACGTGCCTTTTGTGGGGCCTAGTGTGCTGGGACCTCATATGCACTTGTCCGAACTCGAAATCTTGTTCTCTATTTTTTTTTCTACTCGTCCTCGAAAAACTATTTTAGAGTTCTAGCATGCATACTGCAAGATTATGACTCGTTTGACTTATCCAAACATTCGTCAAAACAGAACATTTGTGAATTCTACAATCTTTGAATTACTGAAACTTAAAATTGAGTTACATGAACTGACATTCTCTCACATTTCAACTATAGAATTAATTTTACGTTTAGTTAAAGTAATTTTAAAATTTTATTCTAAGTATTAAATGGCCTCTGAAAACCCTCTCGCTGTCGTCGTCTTTCCTCTTTCGATTCGAAGCTGTTTGACTTCCTCTGCACGCATCGAGCTTAGCCGGAGGTTGCTGGCCCCCAATTGTCTGGTTCTCGCCCCTTCTTTACTGCTCCACCGCCCGATTTCCATGGCTCTGGCTCTCTTCGGCTGCGGATGGGTCTCCTTCTTCCGGCGCCTGCTCGTAAATTCATGTTGGGGACTCTTATGTCGTGTGGTGGTGGAGCCGTTGTGCGGTTCCTGGGGTGGGACACGGCTTGCTTGCACGGCGATTTGTTTGCTGGACGACCGAAGCGGTGAAGGTACTCACTGCCATCTCCTTTTTTTTTTTTTTTTTTCGTTTTCCGGGTCGATGGGGGCTGCTGCGACAATTCTTCCTCCAGTGAGGCTGGTAGGGGTGTTGTTGCGGTGGGACGGTGGTGGTTGGGTAGCTACCAGGTGGTTTCAAGGCCGGGGTTGGGGTTCGCGGCACTCTTTTGCCTGTTTGGGGCACTTGGGTGTTGTGGCCGTGGTGCTCGTCGATCTGCTGTGGTTTCGGAGTTGGGGTTTCGTCTCCGTTAGACACCCGAGTGGGTTTGGCAGTTTCGGAGTTGATGCTTCTATCTTTAGGATCCGTGGTTGACTGGTTTCCAATGGTTTCAATCGATATTGCTGCTTAGGAGGGACTTGTTTAATTTTTGTTGTTTTGTTTTTGTTCACAGGTTTGTATTTTTGTGCGATGTTTTGTCTTGTTTGTGTTAGTCTGTACTTGTAATTTGTTGTTTTGATGTGTTTTTGGTATGGGCCGTTGGCCTCAGTAAGCCCGGGTGTCAACTTTATTATCCTGTTGGGATCCGATACTCGGGTATTACCATGTTTGGGTCTTTTTTGTTTAGTTTAGTTGGGTTGTTTTTTATTCTAGCGTTGCTAGAACGGAACTTTAGGCGGTCTTCTGACATGTCCTCCCACTTTTCAGCCGTTGACTGCTTGTATTCGCACTTTGTGCACGCTTTTAATTTATAATATTATCTATCGTTTCCATAAGAAAAAAAAATATTAAATGGCATAAAACTATTTTTTTAAAGTAAAATGAAAAAAAAAAAAAAATAATAATACGTGTGAAGAGTAGTCGGCCAAACGCCGTTGACCCCCCACCTAAGTCTACCCTACAGACAAAGAACCTCAAGTCTTCCTCCCCTCTTTCTTTGAATAATCTCTCCCATCTCCCCACCGTTAATGGCGGCCGTCTCTACTCTCTCCTTCACGTTAATGGCCAAAATTATTCATCACCCAAACTTCAATTTCTATCCTCTTTCCCTAATCCCTTAATTTATCCTCCAATTGACATATGTAACCAAATCGGAGAAGAACAAAAAGTAAAAATAAAAATGGAACAAACTCTCCAAGCCGTCCTGGCAGCCTCTGCCAGCTTCATGGTTGTCAGCTTTATCCTCGCCTCCGTCATCCTCATCTGCAAGAGAAACTCCAAGCGCCGACGCAGCCACCGCGCGGTACCTCCTCCCCTGCCTCGCAACTCGCCCCTCTCGAAGCCCGATTCCGGGCCCGAATCTCGCCTCTCCACCTCATCCGTCGACGAGAGCGCCACCTTCGACCCGTTACTCAACTCCGTCTCCATGCAGGAGCTCGCCGGCGCCACCGGCAACTTCTCCCCCGACCTCATCATCGGCGACGGCAGCTTCGGGCTCGTTTACAAGGCCCGACTCAGCTCGGGCCCGGTCGTCGCCGTCAAGAAGCTCTCCCACGATGCCTTCCAGGGCCTACGCGAGTTCCGGGCGGAGATGGAGACCCTGGGCAAGATCCGGCACTCCAACATCGTCAAGATACTCGGCTATTGCGCCACGGGCTCGGACCGCGTCCTCATCTACGAGTTCATCGAGAAGGGCAGCCTCGACCAGTGGCTCTATGACACGGAGGACGCCGGGCCCAGGCCTGCCCTCCCCTGGCCCACCAGGATTAACATCATCAGGGGCGTCGCCAGAGGCCTGGCCTATATGCACAACCTGGACACCCCCATCATCCACAGGGACATAAAGGCCAGCAACATACTGCTGGACGCGGGCTTTGAGGCCCACATAGCTGACTTTGGGCTGGCCCGTAGGATAGAGGGGGCCCACTCCCACGTGTCGACCCAGGTGGCAGGTACCATGGGGTACTTGCCGCCCGAGTACCTCCATGGGGCCACCATGGCCACCGTGATTGGTGACGTGTACAGCTTTGGGGTCTTGACCTTGGAGATTGTTACGGGCCGGAGGCCCAGTTTCCCTTTTAATGGGGAGGATGGGAAGGAGGTTCGGTTGATGGATTGGGTCGGGAAAATGGTCGACTCTAAAAGGTACATGGAGATGGTGGATTCGAGCATCTTGAAGGAAGGCCTTGACGAGCGTGTGGTGGTGGAAATTTTTGAAATCGGGCTACAGTGCGCGGACGAGAGGTGGAAGGCTAGACCCACCATGAAGGAGGTGGTAGAGCGCCTCGACAAGATTGCGTGAAAAAAAATTGTTGTTGTCCATTGTTTTCGGAAGTGTAAATAAGAAGTGAAGTATGAGGCTAAGGCTGAACTTTGCAAAATTGTGCAAGGCTTCCTTAACCTCATACTTGTTGTTCACTGTGGATTGCTTTGGAATGGAGAAAACTTTTGTCTTATGGAGTGATGATATATGGATGTTGGTTTTTAACATCTAGTCATTGTTTGGTATACATTTATTTGTCGTTCGAGTCCAGTACAAAATGTTACCAATATGAGTATTTTCGGTTGCTATGGTAAATGTCGGAGTTCTTGGAGTTGAATTGTGCTAATGTGATATTCTTTTGATTATGCTTGCGATTTTATAGATGCGTTGTATGAGTAACGATAAATCGAACTTATGGGCTGCGATCTTTAGTAGATATCCGGGGTTACTGAATATATTTCTTAGATCTGCTTTCATGCATCAAAGTTGGAGTAAACATAATGTGGACTAGATAGAAACCTTTGATCAAATGTTGAATTTATGATTTTGATATGACATTAATCTAAATCTGGATTGGGTTTTTCCTTCCAGCTGGTTTGGACATTTTTTTGCTGTCTCTCTGCTAGGCTAGCTGTTTTGCTTTAGTCATGCAACATGTAAGATGACAAAGTCAAAATTATTGCTCTACTCTAAATTAGGATAGGATTCGTACATAATGTACCATAGAAGACTATTATATGGTGCAAGTTGTGATTAGGTTGTACTATACAAAGATGCTACGGTCACGTTACATAACTATTCCATCGAGATTTGTAACTGTTAGATCAACTATCTATGACGGTTAAAAATCCCGACGAAATAGTTTCGTGACGGGACCTTAACATTTCCCGTTGCTATATATGTTTGAAATTCTGCCAAATCTAGGAATTTGAGTAGCTACTGTTGTATATCTCTCTATGTGAACAATTGGTTACCCAACAAATTACAATCCCAGCCCCCTAAACTGGACTTTCAAAGTCTTTAAATTGATTAGATCAAGTGGCAGTTGAGTTGTCAATATGGTAAATGCACTTGAATATGCAAGTTCATTAGTTAAGAGTCAATGTTCTGACATATGAGCTCAAATCACATTCTTAAGTTTACCAAAACTTGATTAGTCAGGATTCAGATCTGCATTCGAGGTCAACTTTGTACTTTATGTATCTATATCGATAATATTATTTATATCTATATCTATACTATTATAGAAGTATCAATGATTATGTAAGAATATGAAATGCCTATACGCTCACTTTTTCATATTTTGTAATATCATATTTGTAATTTAATACTCATTCTATACTATATTTTTTATTATTAACTAATATATAATGATTTAAATACCTTACAAAAAGAAAAAGATATTCAAAGTTATTCAGCGAGAACAATCTATACAGGTCAGCCGTAAAAGAATTCGGTTCTTAGATCCAAGAAGACGACACGGAAATTGGCCGCACCAATCTGCGCCACGGCGGTCCTCTTCACGACTGGAAAATTATTCATTAACGAACCTCTTGTTAAGAGTTTTTTTCGCTTTCTTTTTTCGAGTGTCAATGAGATTTTTCACAATCGGTAGCCGGATTTATACTAGATGCTCTTCAGGAAACTTTCGAACTATTTATGAAATCAATTCATTTATGTGCATTAACCGAAGCTCAGAGCCTATCAATAATATTTCTTTATGAAAGAACTTACTGTAACCGATAAGAGTGTCTGATTGAAATTTGTGAAAATTTCATGAACTTTTATAAGCTAGAACTTTGTGAAAATTTGTGCAATCGATATTCTTGCTTTGATCTGAAAATAAGAGTGTCTGATTGAAATTTGTGAATTTTGTGTACAATTGACCTTATATAAAATGCAAGCCGGATCAGACACTCTTATTTTCATTACTACATGCATTAGCTTGTCATTAGTGCTATGTATTAATGTGTCATTATTAGTTTGTCATAAGTTCTATGTTTCATTTGTTTCATCAGATTTTCTTGTTGGCTAGCTGACAATGCAATAACTAGGCAAGTCTTCATGTCCACAATGACTCCATAGGTGTTTTTCCTCAAAGCTGAAGCTTATTTAGTTTTGTGTATGTTTTCAGGCAGACACCAACCAACTTTTATTCTCTCTTAGTGATACTTCGGTATGTGTTTGCTGGCTATGGTGACTATCAATAATATTTGTCTTTGGTCTCTACAGTGGCTCAACAATTATGTGAAGTAGAAGCGAGGCAACAAAACATTACGAGGAGTAGATTGGATAGCTCTAAGTGTTACTTGGTAACATACTTTTATATTTCAATTTTGGTGGTTCATACTATTCATAGATTTAAAGAATATTCACTCGGCTCAGTTGCCCATTTACCATTCGACCTGACACACAAGGTAAAGCAAGTATTTCCTCTAATGACATGTTTGTCCTAACCTTTACTTTGTGAGTAAGAAAATATGGCCTCAACTTCTTCACAGTTACGACCACGGCCAACGCATCCTTCTCGATCTCCGAGTACCTTAACTTCGCCCCCTGCATCACTTGATTAACATAATAGATTGAGTACTGCGCCATGCCTCCATGCCTTCTTCCCTCAACAAGACAAAGCTCATCGCCGCTACACCAATGATAACATATCCAAGTCTTCTCCGTGCACCAGCTTAGCCAACAAAGGTAAATCGACAAGTCCCACTTGCAACTCCTTAAAAGCCTTCTGCACCTCCTTAAAAGCCTTCTGCACCTCCTCTGTCCACTAGAATTCTGAGCTATTTTTTAGCATCTTAAGCAACATGCTCTTTTCTTAGCCTCTTTTTAAATGAACCTGCTCAAACCCGCTATTCAACTAGTCAGAATTTGTACCTCCGTCACATTCTTCGGGGGCCTCATCTCAAAACAACTCGTACATTTTTGGGGTTCACTTCAATCTCCTTTTTAGTCACCATGTACCCCAGAAACTTGCCCGACCTCACACCGAATGAACATTTGGCGGGATTCAGTTTCATCCCGTGTCTCCTTAGTGTGATAAACGTCTCCATCAGGTATCAAGTATGCCACATGTTCCGTCTTCACCATGCTTTTGACCAACATGTCATCCACGTATACTTCCATATTTCGACCTAGTTGTTGTGACACCCCGCTTGAAAAACTAAAGTAAAATTTTTGCTTTGCGAAATTACTTTTAGAATATTTCGAAATCACTTTACTTATCTCGGGATGTTACCATTTCTTATTCTATAAACTGTTTTCTTTAATTTGGGCCTAAGATTGCTAACTTAGGAAATAAAAAAAACTCCATCATCGAAATGTCATGCAAGTATTCAACCATGATCACACTCGGGATAGGTTGTGATATTACATTCATTTAAATGTAGTATGCATTATTAGACAATATAAAATTAAACAGTGGAAACTTAAACGTGGTTCAACAGGAATCATTATTTTATACAAACTTAAAAATATCCTATATTAGCCGACTCCGGGTCTGACCACATCCACCATTGCTCAGCCGACACGCTCGACTCCTGTAGCTGAAAAATGATAAATCGTGGGACGTGAGTACAATAACCACGGTACTCCGTAGAAACCAGCAGTAAAGTAAACAACAATAATAATCACCACATATATCATAAAATTGGCGTACATGCATATAACTGAAAACTTACTAGCTTTCAGACACTGGGCCGACGATCATGTGCACACTCCGATGGGATAATAAATATATTGGGGTCCCATCAAAACCTGAGCTAAGGACACTCGGCCTTTACGTAGGCGATTAATAAAAAGACCTAAACTAGTAGGCTGTATCCTACACTCAGGGGAAAATACTTACATACATACCTCAGACATGGTACATGCGATTATAACAATTAAAAAATACCTAGTATACGGTCCCACCTTTTATGTTGATTACTAGGAATGCTGTAGTGCTCAAAATACTGAGGCTCGACTCTAAAGCTACACATAATTAAGTAAAATATGCCAAGTCTTATGCTTGAAGATCTTAATAAATAATGAGATGTTGCTTAGACTGGCTTTGGCTCGGTTAAAATCCTATAATTAATCTGACTTTTATAGGAACACTCTAGGATTTTCGGAAAGATATTCTAAGTCTGGAAACAATATAACTGGTTTGGACTGGATTGACTCGATTCAGAAAAATACTAAAAATCCCGGTGCAAACTTAGACCAAAATCTTAAACCGGATATCTCGAACCAACAATTTAAATAGATCGGTTCGCTGACTTAGACCGGCGGCTCTCCGTGAGCCGGTTGGTTGCCACTGACTAGGGTGGTTGGTTGCAGCCGCGCAGGGTTTGACTTGGTTCGGTCGCACACGCAGCCCCACTGGCGCTGCGTGTGTGTGAGAAGGGCGGGCTGAAATGCGCTGCTGAAGGACGCGGGCTGGGCGGGCTTTGCGCGGGCTGGAACCTGAGTGTAAAGCGGGCCGCGCGGGCTGGATACGGCTCGCGCGATGGAGATGTTGGGAACGGGCCTCCTGGGCTAGAAAATGCCTGGGCCGCGGGATAATGGGCCTCCCGTCGATACTGGCCTCTCGCTACTGGGCCAGATCTTGGATGCTGGGCCTAGACCTCGGGCCACCTTCTTCCTGCGCAGAGAACCAAAACCACGCCATGTCTGAGCAGCTGCGAGCACGGCGGCGACCCTTCGTCGGACAGATTTCGCCAGCCAAAACTTGTCGTTTCCAGCGAAAATGACCGGAGGAGAGCGCGCCTTGACTAGGAGAATCCGATGGTGTCTTCGGCTTGGTGCGATTCGGCGGAAATCATCGGAAAATTGGAGGGGAAAACCGAATTTTGACTAATTTGTTTTTAGATCTACAAACTTTGACCGCTAAATTGATGACCCGCCGGTAAGAATTTTTGCGTGAAATTGCAAGGGTAGAACGAGCTTGACGAGAGCTTCACGATGGTACCAACGGTTTTCTGATCGGAAAACTTTAACCGGCGGCCAGCGGTGGAGGCGGCGGCGTTGGGCTCTGCAGATTCATCTCGGCG